ATAGTTGTCATCCACTCAGAACTCTGCGATGCTTCTTCGAACGTCTCAGGTTCTGTTGCAGTTGTTTCTTCAATTATAGCTGCATTGGCGTATTTGGGATTTGGCCTTCGTGTTCTTGTTGACCTTCGGAGTTGAGATTGTGGAGTTGATTCTTCCGTTTCACTCGGCCCACCTTCTTCGTTTGGTTGTTGATACACGCCAGTTTGCCAAGGATTCTGAGGTACTTCTTGCTCGACATCGTCTCCAGCAAGCAAATCTTCAGGCTCATCTGGACTTGATTGGATTTGGGCAGCTCGGTCTCCCAGTTTCCCTTGCAATGTATCTTCTAAATCTTTTGGGTCGGGCAACGCCTCATTTTCTGAGCACCAACAAGATGATGATTCTGCATCCCATTCTTCCTCCAGGGCTAGAGATGCAACGACATCCCAATCATCTTCAATTTTCTTCTCTGAGTTGGCGACGTTACTTTCTGCAGGCCTTTTGAACCAGCAATCCTTCGCCATGTGGCCATTCTTTCCACAATTGTAACACTTGCCCTCAAATCTTTTATTATTCTGGGACTGACCACGGTTGCCGTGATACTTCGGAGCTCCCCCTGGCCGAGAACTCCCTCCTCCTTGATGACCTTTTTCCTTGTCACCATTTCTTTTAGATCCACCACCAGCACGCTGCTTAAAGCTGCCTTTACTTTTGGTGTAGAGCGCTTCCTCCTCACCTTTTAACGAGACCCCTCCCATTTGCTTTGCAAAAGCTTCTTGATCGGCAAGCAAATTCTCGAACTCAACAAGTGATGGTTGGGTTGGCCATCCTTGTATAGCGGCAATGAACCCTCGATATTCGGGTCTCAAACCATGAATAATTATTCTCTTCATCCTGGTTTCCCCAATAGGAGCTGTTGGGTCTAATTCTGAAATTTCGCGGCATATCGACTTCACCTTGTGAAAGTACTGGGCAATCGTCATGTCGCGTTGTACCATCGATAGCAGCTCATTCTCGAGAAGTTGCAATTTTGTATCGTTCCTCTTCGAAAAGAGTGTAACAAAAGTGTCCCATGCTTCCTTTGGCGTTTTGGCATCCCGAATGTGCTCCAACATTTCTTCTTCAATTGTGGTCTTTAAAGCAAACATCGCTTTGCCTGCTTTAATTTTCCACTTTCGCAAGACGCCGTTAGCATCTTCCGCTGCCGGTTGTGTAACTTCACTACCACCGACAACCTCCCACAAGTCTTGACCTTGAAGGTATAGGGTCACGTTGCCCACGTGTTATAGTTTTGGTTGTTGAGCTTCTTGATTCCTCCAACAACTTGAAGATCACCCATCGTATCGGCAAGACTTTGACTACACCGAACAAGCTTGAGTGATTACCGTGCAGAGTAATACACTACTCTCGACACAAAGAAGCTCCCTCTCAAGGTTTGTGATAACCCCAGCAATAATCTCAAGAAATTTTTTCTGATGTGGAAGATCAGTCAAAACTGCAACCACAGAGCATACTCGGAATTTCAAGAGACTTTACAACCAATGCTCTACCAAGAACGATCCCTGACCGACTTGGCTCTGATACCAATTGTTGAATAAGAAGAGTATCCAAGATAACTCTAATGATCACAAGAAGAAGAAAATAGAGCACACTCTTAAAGAAAGCTCACAAAACAAACTAATTAGCAAAGCTTTTCTTATTTAGCTCTAGGCTTTGTTTTTCCTTAGATGATTTACAATGCTTGAGAACTTGGGTATTTATAGCAAACCAAATGATTAAACTAAGATTATTTATTACCACACAAAACACATTAATTGCACCTAATAATTTTTATTCAACCATACCTAACATTGCCTAACTTTCCATGCCTAATTTTGACATTGATTTTCAACAGTCTGTGTATGTAAATAGGACAATGTGGTCTGTGTATATATTATGTACTTGCACATCATGTAAAGTAGTACCATATGTACTGTTTTCAATCCCGCAGCATGGCGCGGGCATTTTTGCTAGTAATATGTATAACACCTTCAAGGATTTTCTGAATTTCTTTTGTTTTTTTGGTCGCAAGGCTTTTCTATTTTTCAGTTGCTTTTTATTACATGCATATGTTTGTGGTTCCTGATTTTTGAATTTCTACAGGGATTTGGCAAACTTGTCCATTCTATTAGCTAATTGGCTAATTTTGTCAAGCGTGAAAATGTTTGCAAATTTGTCCATTTGAATTTCTAATTAATTGTTACTTGAAGATTTTGCAAGTGTTTTGGTAAGGATACGATGAACTCGGTTCACTTGCTGCTACTGCTTGCTCTATTTGGAAAGAGTAAATTGTAGTAATGGTCCATCAACTTTAATCAAATTGGAGCAATGGTCTTTCAGCTAAAAATCTATTACCATTAGTCTCTCAACTTATCAAAATGTGTAGCTATAGTCATTTTCATCAATTTCGTCAAAATTTTGTCAAAATAAGTTATGTTGGAATGACCATTTATACAATTAGGGTCTCTCAACTCATCAAAGTGTGTAATTATGGTCCTTTTCGTCAACTATGTCAAAATTTTTGTCAAAACGAGTTATGTTGGAAGGACCATTGCTACAATTGGGTTAAAGTTAAGGGACCATTTCTTCAGTTGAATTAAAGTTGAGGGACCAATGGTAATGAATTTTTAATTGAGGGACCATAGCTGCACGTTTTGATGAGTTGAGGGACCATTGCTCCAATTGAGTTAAAGTTAAGGGATTATAGCTACAATTTACTCATTTAAAAATTACTCATCAGAACAATTGCTGCACTCTTCCACATCATCTTTTCTTTTTGTTTGTCATGTTTGCGTGTAACGCGTTTCCATGCCTTAACCCACATGCTGAGGCTAGACTTTGTTCAGTCTGCACAAATGGATGGGGCCAGGGGAAGACTAGACCGGGTCAATCAACATTAGCACCGCACAGCAAGGTTTAGAAACTTTAAGCGTAACACCTCCGAAATTTCTCCTAGTTTAGATTTATTTACGGAGCTAAAAATGTATGTTAACTGAGGTTAACTGAATATAACAAATCATGGGTTGGTTTTATATGAAAATTTCGTCAATTTGATTACGCAGCAAGACATAGGATCTAGAATGAGATCTAAAACTAGTACTCAAATTTGCACCCTACATTAGATTAGGTCTCAACACATGTTTTGAATTAAATATGTCGGGTCCAATTGTATTTACATTTCCATGTATAGGATTTTGCGGATTTTATGAAGTACATTGGTTGTTCTTCTCTCAGCTTTGAGTTTTATACATCAACCTCCTTTCTGTTATTTTTCTTCAAAATTTATGTGCATCATTTGATTATTTGGACTTTGGACTAAATTGTTGAAGATGATTTTGTCATGGATACCATGTGCAGTTTTTATTATGGATGCTCACACTTTCGAGCTGTATACCAGCTCATTGAATAAGAGGACATCTAGCAGACCGAAGAAGCTCTCTCGGTGCAGCATACACCCTCCTCAATCAAATTTTGACAAGGAGGATCCAGTGAAAAATGGAATAGGTGATGATCCACAGGGTTAAACTGGTTTAATTCTACTACACACTGTATGTTGATGATTGCTTCAGTCAAAATTCGATATTTTCGGTAGACTAGAGATGGCTGTTAGAAAATGCATGACTGTTCTCTAAACTAAAATACACTTCTCAGATTGCTGTGGTTATTGGTTTGGATTTTCCTTATTTACCTTGGTGCCTTTAACTTTTCAGGTGAAATTTTTTACTCAACTTCATTACTTGCAAAATTTTGTTGAGTCAACATTCAATGCCCTTTCTTCGAATCAAGTTAAAGGTAGGATCACTAAGTCATACTATTTTCATCGCCTCGTTTCCCCTTGCTGAACACAACGGAGTGAAATGTCTTCATTTGCATTTTAACATTTGAACTTGCAAGTCCGTTTATGCTAAATAATATTTATTTTTTCTCGTCTTTGATTTTACTGAGTTGCACCTTATTGTCAATTTTTAGATTTCATTTAGACTCATAAACTGAGGCATTATGTATGGCATTATGTACGTCCAAGAATGAATGGAGGAATTTAAGCAACAATGTCGGTGGCCGCTTTTGTAAATAGAGTGAGATATAAGAATGATCAATTAGCTATCATAAAACAGTGTGGTCTGTGTATGTAAATAGGGCAATGTGGTCTATGTATATATTATGTACTTGCACATCAAGTATTTAATTAGTACCATATGTCCTGTTTTCAATCCCGCAACATTGTGCAGACATTTTCTGCATTTCAGTTGCTTTTTATTATATGCTATGTTTGTGGTTCTTGATATTTGAATTTCTACACGGACTTGGCAAATTTGTCCATTCCATTAGCTAATTGGTAAAGATACGATGAACTCGGTTCACTTGCTGCTGCTGCTTGCTTTGTTTGAAAATCACTCAGCAGAACATCTGCTGCGCTCTTCTGAATCATCCATTCTTTTTCAATTACGCGTCGTGTTTGCGTATGACATGTTTCCATGCCTTAACCCACACGCTGGAGCTGGACTTTGTTCAGTCTGTGCAAATTGAAGGGGCCAGGGGAAGACTAGACCGCGCCAATCAACATTAACGCACCACACAGCTCTTGATTGTGTTGAAAAATCCTTTCCGAAATTCCAAGCGTAAAGAAAGGTTTAGAAATTCTACACCTCCGAAATTTCACCAAAGGCTAACAGAATATAACAAACCATGGGTGCTTTATGAGAATTTCGTCAATTTGATTACGGCAAGACATAGGATCTAGGATGAGACCTAAAACTAATACCCATATTTGCACCCTACATTAGATTTGGTCTCAACACATACTTTGAATTAAATACAAGGTTGGATTCACATGTGTGTCACATCATCGAACTAACAATTTTTATAGAGTAATACTAAACTTACAATCTATTTGTATCATCTCTTTAATAGAGGTATAGCCTGCCTACTCGTGTGGGTTCCATTTCTATTAGAGAGACGGTACAAATGATGGTGCGCGAATGAATGCTTTGAAGCAGCATAAATATTGCTTGACTGGAAGCATAACAGAGCAACTCTGCTAAGCTTGAAAAATAACACCATGAAAAAAGTTCAGATGCCTCCCTTCCTCCTTCAACTTTTCTTGCTTTCCCTGCTTTCATCAAAGGCCGCCACCTCCTCACCGAGGACGCAGGCAGAAGCTCTGATAGCTTGGAAGAGCAGCTTCTACTTTAATTATTCACCTTCTCCTCTCGATTCATGGTCCCTCGCCAACCTCAACAACCTTTGCAACTGGACTGCCATTATCTGTCACCGCAATACCAAAACAGTTTCCGAAATACATCTCTCCAACTTGCAGATCACAGCCACACTAACCCACTTCAACTTCACCCCATTTCTTAATCTCACTCACTTCAACCTCAGTCAAAACAGTTTTATTGGGCCTATACCATCTGAGCTTGGCCATTGTACCGACCTCACGAATTTGTCCCTGGCTTCCAATTTTCTTAGTGGGGAGCTGCCACAGTCCTTGTCCAATCTGAACAGCATTTTCTGGTTGGATTTCTCCGATAATGAATTTACCGGTCCAATCTTGCCTTCCGTGATCTCCAATTGGAGTCAAGTTGTCTATATGAATCTTCAACGCAATAGCTTCAGTGGGAATATTCCACCTGAGCTTGGGCAGTTGACAACTTTGAATAGTCTAAGCCTAGACTCTAATGATTTTGGTGGGGAACTTCCTAGTCAAATTGGAAATCTAAACTTGCTATTCACACTAAACGTGAGCAGGAACCATTTGACAGGAGTGATCCCTCGCAGTATCGGCAATTTCACTCAGATTGTGTCTCTTGATTTGTCTAATAACAATTTGACAGGGGTAATACCACCTGATTCCATCAGCAGTTTGCGCTGGACATTAGAGATTTTCAATGTATCACACAACCATCTCTCAGGGGAAATACCATCAGAATTTTCCAACGTGGATACACTAACCATCTATGACTTTTCTTATAACAAACTCACTGGGCCAATTCCAACTTGTGGCATTTTCCGAAAGGCTCCAGCTGATGCTTTTGTCGGAAACTATGGCATGCGGAGAGATGCAAAGGGAACGACTGCATGTGATTCCTCCGGAGACAATTCAAATATTGTACTTGTTAGCATTTTGCCCTTTGTTTTGGGTGTTGGCGTGGGCTCACCTATCGTTGGTTTCTTCGTCTTATTAGTATTACGCAAGAGATACAAGCTCCGGCCTCAGGAAATCAAAACTTCTCAAAACTTTGAGAATTTTGAGTCAATGATATTGCAAGAGGAAGTAAAGTTTACATTTGGGGAAGTTGTGAAAGCCGTAGATGACTTTCATGAGAAGTACTGCATTGGGATAGGAGGATTTGGAAGAGTATACAAGGCAGAGTTGGAGTCAGGTCAAGTTGTTGCAGTTAAGAGGCTTAACACGGAAGACTCTAATGACATTCCAGCAATTAATCTCCGAAGTTTTGACAATGAAATCCAAACTTTGATAAATATCCGACATCGCAACATCATAAAGCTATACGGCTTCTGTTCAAGGAGGGGTTGCATTTTCTTGCTTTATGAATACTTTGAAAGAGGCAGTCTAGGAAAATCATTGTATGGGGTTGAAGGGGTTACTGAACTTGGCTGGGCTACTAGGGTCAAAATTTTGAAAGGACTTGCTCATGCACTTTCTTACTTGCACAATGACTGCACTCCGCCAATTGTGCACCGCGATGTAACTGTCAACAATGTATTACTTGACCAAGATTTCGAGCCTCGGCTCTCAGATTTTGGAACTGCAAGACTGGTGAGTGCTAACTCATCCAACTGGACACATATTGTCGGTTCATTTGGCTACATGGCACCAGGTAATGTAACACTTAAACTTGTACATTTTAGGTTCATATTAATTTCAGCATCTTAAGATACTGTTTGTTTTTTTTTGACGTGCAGAGCTTGCATTGACTATGCGGGTCACAAATAAGTGTGACGTATATAGCTTTGGAGTCGTAGCACTAGAAGTGATGATGGGAAAGCACCCTGGGGATATGCTAGAATCCCAACTATTAGAGTCGTCAAGATTATCGCAGGACAATGTAGGGTTACTTTTGAAAGATGTGTTAGACCAACGGCTTGAGCCTCCGACCGCTGAATTGGCAAAGGCAGTGGTGCTTGTGATGAGTTTAGCATTGGCTTGTACACATGCGCATCCCAGATCTCGACCTCCAATGTCTTTTGTGGCACAAAAACTATTAGCTCAAGCCCTGCCTTGCCTTCCTGAACCATTTGGTATTATGAGCATCAGCAAGCTAATGGGGCTGGGGCTACATGCTAATGGAAGCTAGCAGCCGAATTCTATGTTTACTTGAGCTGTAAGATTGGCACATAATGGCTGTTGCTTTTGTTTCATGTTTATCTATGCTTTAAGCTATTAATCATAATATATATCAACCAAACAACATTTAGAGTGTGTTTAATATCTATTTCATTTTTAGTTTGCTTTATTTTTCTTATTTGAGATCTTCTGCCCCAAGAATAAAAGAAACATGCATCAATCATACAACTCACCTAATCAAAGCCCATGATACTTACTAATATTATTATCAAGCAAGAAATCCAAATACTTACTAATATTCTTATATTTGTTTGTCTTAGATATTAAATAAAAAGAAATTTAAATTACAAAGGAGAATAAGAGTTATTTATTTATTTTTGGTAAATTTGTTTATATCCGCTCACCAAATTGTTAATTTGGGATGTGAGATTTTGGACTCCGAGCCCAATAAACAAGCGAGTGCTCCACCCAGCCTACTCTAAGAAAAATGCAAGAGCCAACGGGGATCTATTTGGCGGGAAGCAACGGGTCACGCCAGTGGCAGCTCATCTTCCCGTCATAGAAAACCCGTAAATACCGAAAAACCCTCAAATTCCCCACTGATTCTTCTTCTTCATCTCCTCCTCTGTGACTGCAGCCCCGCAAGGTCTCACCTTTTCGATTCCGAATCCCGCATTTCGCTTTATCTCGGCAATGAGTTCCTCGCGAACCCTCAGATCCAGGACACCCAAAAGCCGGGCAAAGAAAGCCCTAAACCCAATTCCCTCGAAAGTCTCAGGCAACGAGGCACTGAGAACCCAGACCCCCCAGAAGTCCGAAGCACTCACACGCCGTGCCCGAAACGCCAACTTCGCGCTCTCCATAGGAGACATCAGAAGGGCCGGCGCCAAAAGAGTCGGAGGTTTTACCCAGAAGCGACGGACGGACCAGATCCATCCATGGGGAGTGGAAACCCCGAAGAAAACTTGTGTCAGCCGCCCGGAGAAGCTACCCGAGAAGTAAGGCTTCAAATTTCTGTTATCTTGCATATCTGTGTGATTTTGGTCCTCCATTTCTGGGTTGGCTAATTTATGTGCTTATTTTATTTATTTATACAGATTTGAGATGTTGGGTGAGTTTTTCAATGGCTTCGACACTTCGATTCGGTTGTTGCGGTTGAGGGGATTGAAGCCCAGTTTCAGCAACATTTGCCCCCAAATCGAGTGTTTAACGGATAGGTATTTTCTTTTGCTTGGTTGTTGTGAAAATGAAATTGGGCTGCTATATAAATTGATCGTTTTTATCTCGATTTTTAGGAGATTCACATATGGTATTTTTTATAGAAATTTTCTTTCTTACTTGATTGTTTGGTTGACGAGAAAATGAAATTAGGCTAGTGTAGAAATTGGTCTTGTTTTTTATCCCAAGTTTTAGGAGATTCACATATGGTGGTTTTTTTTTTAAAAAAAAATTGTCTTTTTAATTGGCTGTTAGATTGCTGAGAAAATGAAATTAGGACATTTAAAGAAGTTGATCGTTTTTTTCTGACTCGATTTATAGGCTGAAGTTAGAAAGTGCTTATTAAGGATGAGAGAACCAGTTGTATGAAGCCGGATCTTCATGACACCATCAATGCTGATGCATTGGAGGGCGATGGCAAGTCAAAACCCAAAGGTGGTGGGAGTATCCATTTGAGGAAATCATTTCGTAAGCGGCTTGCTGATCTTTCGAAATCCCATCCTGAGGTATCCCCCATACTCAGTTTCGGATATGGCATCACTAATGTGGTTTAATTTGTTGAGTGCTCTGTGTAATTTTAATTGAACGGTTATCTGGGAAGTTATTTGTGTCAAGATTTTCTCCTTATCAGTTTAGCAATCTATTTCTTGAACTACTTTCTGAATAACATGTGGTCTAACAATGCTTAACATGTTTTCAGGATTATGAAATTCCAGAAGAAACTCTCCCCCAGCCATTTGGTCTTACGAAACAACATATGCGAACAGATACGGTCAAGCTTCCCTTGTCATCATCTCAGGGTGATGAAATTTCAGAACCAAAGCTTGATACCGCTTGTGCTTCATTGCGTGGCCAATTGCCTGTAACTCCAACTAAAAGCATAGACGCTGTTGAAAATGATGATGATTTGCCCACAAAAAGTGCTAGCATTGAGTCGACTCCAACAAAGCTTGCTTTAACTCCAGCCAGGTTGAGGGCTGAAACGCCTGCATTGCAGCCTCCAGAGCGATGTTACATGAGCCCAGCTGATAATGCTACTAGCTCACCGATCAAGTTGGCTAGGCGTCCTCCAAGCACCAGGTCGTTGATATTTGATATGCCTGTGAAGAATAAAAAAGTTGAGGATGAAGTTCCTGATAGGAGTGGCGCATCAAACGATAGTGACATTCATGATATTCTTCCCGTGGATCTTTTGCAATAGGTATGTCTATATTGAATTGTCCATTCTTGTTTCTTCATTTAACGAACTTTCCTGCCCGTAATGTGTTTTCGTGCTCCCTCTTTTTATTCAAAATAGATGCATTTAATTGTGCTTAAACTAGTCCCAAAAGCTATTGAGAATCATGTCATAATGGAAACTTTTACGTAGTTGGACTTGAAGATAATGAATTTATGCAGCTTAGAGAGAAGGAGAAAAAGGCAATAGAGGAGCGATATCTGGCCATCTCCCAAGCAAAAAGGCGGCAACAGATGATTTCCAGCCTACCAAAGCTCTTCAACTTGATTCATTTCGTACTTCAATCTACGAACCGTTCTGTTATCACAAAAGAAGAGCTTGTGCACAAGATCATTTGGACCAATTTCGATATTGTTGACAGAAGTAAGTCGTTAAACAAAAGAAGATACTATTTCTATGAAAAGTTATGGTGAACCTAACTCTTTCTCTATTCTTTCCGCAGAGGAAGTTCAGGAGCATCTAAACTTGTAGCTAGAGCTGGTTCCCGATTGGATTTCTGAAAAGACGATAGCATCTGAAGCTGACTTGCTAATGATCCAGTAAGTTTTCTTCGTATTTTGAAGTAGAAATTATGTGCGTTCTAGTGGAAATGTATTCATCTTCCGTTGAATAGATAAGAACCTGATAGATTTGTCTAATGTCATTACTTCGCCTCTCTTGCAGCATTAATAAGACGTCGAATCCTGAGTCAATACGTGCACGGCTTGAAACGGCAAAGTGAGCTAGGGAATGCGAGGTTTTTCGATAATTTAGTTGTTCGTGGAAAGGGCATCTGCACGTAAATACATCAAGGCTTCGTCCGATAATGTTATTCGACGTATTCTTTGAATGAATGCTACAATTTTCAGCAAGATGCACACTAAAGACACGAATTTGCGAGTCGATTGCTATCGTTTCCTCGGACATATCTTTTTGCTAAAGAATCGATCTATATCGGCTGTTCGTTGTACCAGAACCAAGTGTTCTGAACAGCAGCAGCATACCTGGAATTCAGTTCGATGAAGCTGGAAATATAAGCATTGTCTATCCAAATTTGGTGGATTCGGGCCTTGCTTGAATACTCAATATTACCCGCGGTGAAATACAAGTTGAACAAGCACAAAAAATAAAGATGGTAACATCGTATTTCTAGCACATCACAACTGAATATAACTAATGCAGCAGCGCTGGGAAGAATATATATCATCAATACCAACAGTGATAAGCAAGTTCAATAGAAACATGAGAGAGAGAGAGAGAGAGAGAGAGAGAGAGAGAGAGGGTGGAGTGGAAAGTGGAAGAGGAGAGCTCCAAACAGTACTCTAGCAGAACTACTGCTACTAGAATGTATTGGCACTTCTAGCAGAACTACTGCTGCCAACTACCACCAAGAATCAAGCAATCCAACCAGTCTCAGGATAGTTCAACTCTTCTCGTGCATAAGTTGTCAGACTGGAGAAAAGATCGCATGGATGAGGGATTCCTGTGAAAGAAATTTCAAAATCTCTTGAATCTCTGATGTTAGGCCTGCCTGGACTGAGAACCACCATAGCCACTGGTGGCCTGTGAAGGGTCAGATCTCCACGATGCATTAGAGTACCCTGAATTACCATTGGTGTTGTCATAGCTGCTCCCCATGTAACCACCACGAGTCCCTTGTTGCTCTCCACCGCTAGCACTACCTGAGTTGCTTGTTGGAGTACTTCCACCCAGCCCGCCAGAGGTCACATACCCACCAGGATAAGAAGTGTAACTCCCGCCATAATTTCCATAACCATAACCTTGATTTCCATAACCAGAAGCCCCACTTGGTGATTGACCCCTAGGAGCAGAAGGAACACCACTTCCACTGGGAGTACTCCAAGGAGCTGCAGCCCCATAGCCAGTAGCGCCATACCCAGGAGTTTGGTTGCTCCAAGTATTTTTCAACGCACCAGGTACCCCACTAACATAGCCAGCATTAGGGGCATTTGGATTCCCATACGATCCTGCAGGACCACCAAAACCAGTATTGGCACTTCCATAACCACCAAGACCATAACTTCCATAACCTCCATAACCAACCCCTGTATTTGCCACCCCATAACCATAACCCGGTGCACCATAACCAGAATATGGAGGGAAACCACCTGCTGTAGTTTGAGGCTGCACATATCTACTGCCATCAATTCGACCATCAAATGAATTGTACTGGCCCCAGAGGCACTGTAACCTTGATATCCCCCACCACGGCCCCCACCACCGGGATTTGCATCTTTAGGAAGTGCTCGCTTTACCTCTACAAGTTTACCATTCAACTCATGGTAGTTCTTTTGTAGTACTCCATCAACTGCATCTTCAGTGTCAAATGTTATGAAACCAAAACCACGAGGTCGTTGAGTATTTTGATCATACATTATTACTACATCAGTAACGGTGCCATAATTTTCAAAGAATTCACGAAATCCATCTTCTGTAAGTGTAGAAGGCAATCCACCAACAAATATTTTCTTGGTCTTAAAACTTCCTCCCCCTCCAGAGCTCCTGGTGGTATTAAAGTTTCCGGTTCTATTGGATGTCTGTTGATCATCTCTTGATAAAGCCCGTTTTGCCTCAACCTGTGTAATCAAAGTAAAACCTTTAACAAACAAAGGGACAAACAGATGTACAGACAGGGCAAAGATATACAATAAAGTAGCATATATGCTTGTTC